TAGTTAAGACTGAACTGTTCATATTGATAAGTCGTGTGTATCATGTGCGTCAGGAAATAGTGTCTGACAATATCGACACGGATCACAATGAAACCTTACATGTATATGTGGGACATGTCACGGCTTCTGTCTAAACAGCAAGTCAGTCGTATCAATACAGTGTAACACAGCTTTAGGAGGAACTATTCGGCAGCAGGCGCGGTTGATCTTCCCGCTATATTCAGAACCATTATGCGTCCAATAACAGCCCTAGTTGCATGTGTTCGGCAGTGATCGGCCGTTCTCGTGTTTTTGTGAATGAACCACAGCTTGTGTTGAGTGTTAGTCTAACAGAGTTGTGTCCCTTTGCTTACCGAGATCACACCAGGGCAGCCAAGAAGAAACCCCATGCTGTATTCTATGCCCTGTGCTATACAGGTTCAAAGTGAAACGAATGTCAACTAGCGCCAATTATGTAACTATTTAGTTACCATTGTCTCACATTTGATTTTGGCTTGTAATCCGATTGTCATGAACTCTGCTGTTTCAGATGAATATCACACATGAGGTTCTTAGTTCCATTTCATAAGGTATTACCCGACAACCCTTATTGGTTATTGCGCACGTGTGTGCTTGCGTTTGTGAATGCTGAAAACGCGTGTATCTCCTGACGTTAAATCAGATCCACAATTATGTTTAAGGTCCTGTAGTTGCCACCCCGTCCTCACAGCTAATACACTGATATATAAAACATACGTAGGCGAACACATGACTGTAAAACGTGACAACATGGCGTCGACATTTACCCTTCAATGGACATCTCTACAAAGAATGAGAATACTCTATTTCTGACCTACACTATAAAAATGACAATTTGTTGTCCGATTTCAATTTGTTGATTAAATGGGCTCTTTTTAGAAAATCTGTTGTTGCCTGGCACATGATATAAAGGATATTCTCCCTGTCAGTTCACACCTGCACATGCCCAGGTAAGATCCTTCTTTCACAGATGTGTGTACTGTGTGCTTGTTATATGCCACGAGTGACAGGGTCGTCCGCCGTGATAGTGTTCAGCCCACATAATTTGAATAAGAATGGGTTCTGAATGGAAATAATTTCAGTGGCATCAGATGGCTAACCAAGCTATTACTGTCTGTTTGTTTCCATAAAATATTAGGCCGCACCAACTAACGGACTACTGTTTTCTGCTTGGCTGATAATTGAGTCGGCAGTGCTTGTGTTGTGTAATTGCGCCGATACTGCTCGTATCCCTGCCAACCCTTGTTTTGTATGTTAATGATTAAATAAGCAGTCTATGATGTTATTATTGGTGACTTGGAAGGACCCATATATATTTGTGCGTTATATGTGAACAAAACTGTATTGAGTCGGCAGGGCTTGTGTTGTGTAAGTTAGCATAGTATTTTCTGTATCCATGCCAACAGTTGTTTTGTGTGACTCGATATCCGCCATTTTTAGCTAAATATAGAAGAGCATAAAAGTGCTAATGCGGAACTAAAGCGGAATACAATTTCTTCTTCTTATACAGATCGCTAATGAAAAAATGCAATTCCTATAAAAATGGTCGTGTTGCTTGTTAGCTGTATTTACTACCCATTGCCATGTTTAATTTCTAACCATGATATCACTCCCAAATGTATTATTTGATCTTTTATCATATCATAACTTTCGTGAGGTGGTGACATGTTTAATAATAGAGTAAATTTTCTGTTAAATAGCTATCTTGGCCACTTCTGAACACATTGTTTTCCTATGAAATAGCAAAAGCCAAATGAAAATAAAATTATTCTCTAATTTATATATTTTAAAGATGTTATGCCACTCATTGGACGGGATATAAGTGTAATAATACAAGTTCCTATGATGATGTTTGTGTTATGCTATTTTTCCAAGATTATTTTGATTATTCTTCTCATACGCAGAAACACAGGATGAAAATGTTATGACATTGTACAATAGGCGATGATGTTCACACTATATATGTAGGAGGGTATGTACAGTAATATAATTATACTAATTATTTTGAATATTACTGAGTGTGTCATTAAACATCAAACAGAGAATATGATACACAACAGAGTTAAAAGGGGTCCAATTACATTTGTACTATTCAAGGGATTTCTCAGCCCCAATATCTCACAGCCCTCTGGCAACTGATGCGTGTATTTTTGTTTGTATTCTCAAGTCTCAAGGTCATTTTGTGTAAATATTATTATCACTATAATGCAAGAATTTTGTGGTCACAATTATTCAAAATCACTCCATTTGATTATTGTGTACATGATGATAAAAGCAACTGTTTTTTTATTAATGTTGGAGCTGCATGTAACTGCTTCAAGGCATAGCGGCCCATGAAGAGTCCGGGGTAGAATAGGTCTTCAGCATCCCATGCTTGCCGTAAAAGGTGACTATTCTTGTCGTAAAAGGCGACTAGCGGGATCGGGTGGTCAGGCTCGCTGACTTTGTTGATACATGTCATCGATCCTAATTGGGTGGATCGATGCTCATGATATTAATCACTGGATTGTCTGGTCCAGACTCGATTATTAACAGACCGCCGTCATATATTGTTGAGTGCGGCGTTAAACAACAAACCAACCAAATCAAGGCATAGCAGATGCAGAATGTGAGAGAGTTAACTGGGAAACTCATTGAACCATTCCTGGTAGCTTATTGGCATATATACATTGCAGCTTTCATAACCATTTTGCTAGCAGAATGTCCTCATATATATGGAGAGACAATTAAATATTTTATGGTCTCTGATACATATGGAATCTAAATAATATCATTTAATATGATTGAAATAATTAGTGCTCCGGCTTGTTCTGCGCAGCCTGTCGGGACTATTATATGGTCTCTGGTGTAACAGTCAGTTGGTCAGAGTATCCATAAGTTCTGTGATACATAACAAGGTTCCCGGCTATCATGGAATTTTTTGTGTGAATGTTTGTGACTAATGTGATATTGATCGTCGCGTAAACCGTGGGGAGAATCCACATAAGTTTTTTGTATTAGACTCTGCAGAGTTATGTCCCTTTGATCATCTTGGTCTATACAAAACAAGTAACTGTTACATTTATTGTAATTGACTTGGCTTGTAAACATTTGTGTTAATGTGTAAAAATCGTTATCCAGCATATCTGTGCTTTTCCATAATGAAAAGGGTTGACTGTAAAATTGGTTCTGACTAAGATGTGAAGTACGATACTTACTTACTTACTAGGGGGTCACGGGTGGCCCAGTCGTCTAAGGCGCCGCGAGTCGCTTTGCAGAGTTGTGTCCCTTGGGCACGCCACAAACCTATGATTCTGGGTTCGAATCCCGGCACGGAAGTACGATACTGAGTCACTGGATAGTTGTAGATTTCATCAAGCTTGTGGGGGACCCCTCGCTATATGTGTACCTGTTGACCCTCACGCATGTATGAACATGTTCATCAAGGGGATGGAAAAGATTATACGTTATAAGTACTTTCACGGGGACCCCTCACCATATGTGTACCCCCTCACGCATGTATGAACATGTACATCAAGGGGATGGAAAAGATTATACGTAATATGCACTGTACACGGGGACCCCTCACCATATGTCTACCTGTCGACCCTCACGCATGTATGAACATGTTCATCAAGGGGATGGAAAAGATTATACGTTATAAGTACTTTCACGGGGACCCCTCACCATATGTGTACCCCCTCACGCATGTATGAACATGTACATCAAGGGGATGGAAAAGATTATACGTAATATGCACTGTACACGGGAACCTCACTACGGCCTCACCTGTTGTTCTTGGGGACAATTAGATGATTAACTAGAGTCTGTGGCAGAATGTCAGGTATTCGTTTATTCATTTATACATGTACACATTACAAATATACAGATATATTACACAATAAGATACAGTGCAAGAAACGTATTAAGATACATATTTTATTAAAATCAATTATGTGAATATGGTTATTGGTTTAATTAGCATGTTTAATTGTCAACGTTGACTCACACCTTCAAACATTGTACGATACATGTTCCGAAACATACATTCTGAAAATCAATAAAATGGTTTGCAATGTACAAGACATTAATGAGTTTCCATTTTTTCAATGATTGACATGAAAAACACGTTGACAGGCCAACAAAGTGGAGCTTTCTGCCGGTCATAAGTTCATGTTGTTCACTGAGGATACTTGTGTGGAGGTTGTGTATTTTCGTCTCTTTGGTGGCAGCCTGCCACCAGGTTGAATTTGGAATTCTTCCTCCCTTCCTTCATTATGGGACTCTTCCTTCATTATGTTTACAAATGTGTAGATGTTGAGCCGGTTAGAACAGGCTTGCTCTCAAGTTGAACTATGGTTTTCAGGTTAGGGAGGAATTCTTGACTGACAATGTCCTTGCCATCCCAAGGATGGTTGTGCATATCACAATAGGTTTTGTTAGAGGCGTCGTCTTGACCAGTAGCAGGACAAAGGTGTAATCTACATTCTTTCTTTAATGAATTCATTAACAGTGATGTCTGGAAAGCAGTTTCTGCAAAGTAGATCATATAGAATAGATGAGAAAGTGGAGATCCATAAGTCAGTCCTGTCAACCTAGATGCTACATAGAGAATCTCACCCGAGTGTCTTTTGATATCAAATATATCAACACGAGTTGATAAAAGTGGAAAAATTCCGAGGCTTGCCGAGGATTTTTGCCACTTTTATCAACGAGTGTTGATATATTTGATATAAAAAGAAACGAGGGTGAGATTTTATTTATCATCCAACATCATTCTTTCAACTTTTTCAATTTGTAGACAGTAATTAGCAGTGTCTTCAGTGTAAAAAGTACTGCAAACAGCTTCAGTAGCAGAGCCATTAGTGATGTCATTTGATTGTGACGTCATTGTAACCAGTGATGTCACAATGGTCTGCAAAGCATTGTGATGTAATTTCGTTGCAGCGATATCTACAGTGTAGATATCGCTTGATCCCATCAAAGCGATATCTCCTGTGGGAGCCAGTTTTGGATGATAAATAGGGTTTAGGGATGGTTTACATCTTATTTCATGCTTTAGTCAACATTAGAGTCCTTGTGCCTTCTCAGTCAGTAGGGACTCAATAGTAGCATTGCCCCACGCCCGAGTACAGTAACAGATTCAAGGATCCAGACTGTGGACTGTGTGGCGGGGATCTGTACACTAGGACTGAAGTTGGTCCCATGGTGTTAGAAAGACAGAAGAACTTTCATTTCGCAGACAGTGAATGCAATCATGGACCCTAAATATATACAGCGGCCTCGAGTCCGTCGTATTAAGTGTCCATGATGCAATAAGGCCTTCATTCACTACATCCATTTCAATATAAGGTGTATCTTACAGTGTGACGCTCGTGGATCAGTTCCATAACGTACGCAAACATGTCTCCCACACTAAGGCCACTGCAACCAAAGCCCTTGTCAAGTATAGTTGATTGTGTAGGTTATGGAATGAACACATTGTTGCTTAGCAACACTCAAACGTGATTTAAGCCAAGTGAGTTTTAAGACTCAGTTGTATATAATAGCATTATACACTGCACTTTACACATTACATTTATATGACAAGTGCTTTAACCATCAACTCATGGTTATCATCTATGTGTCCTTTTGTTGTCAGTTCCACGCTATAGGATGTCCGATACAAGCCGAGGATCTGGATATGTGGACAACTGGCAGTCAAAGAAGACTGTCACAGAGTGTAATCTGCGCATGGTCGACACGGAAGACTTCAGTGACGTCACCTTCCGTGTGGGGGCAGAGAAACAGGTGGTCCGAGCTCACCGCTACGTTCTTGTCAGTCGCAGCTGTGTCTTCGAAGCTATGTTCTGTGGCCCCCTGGCGGAGACAGGGGAGGTAACCATCCCCGACATTGAGGCAGACATCTTCAAAGAGTTCTTGAGGTGAGATTGATCTGGCGGTTTTACAAATCATCAATTACCCAGAGAAAATAGCACCTTCCATAATCAATGCTGATTTTATACCAAAGTCTCGAAGTCGCTCGGCAGAAAGAAAGGTGTAATTCCATATTCAAGTTAAATTTCAAGTGTATGGATTTGTAGTTACGAAAGCAATATCAGATCAGTAGAACTACGTCTGCATGTCCTTCATCAAGGGAGTTTTGTGGGTAGCATATAGCTGTGTTTGTTGTTTTGATGCTGACCTGACAAGTGAGAAGAAGGAATATTACATGGGTTAACCTCTACAAGTAACTACAACTATACATGTCTGAACAGGTGAACATTTACAACAGACAACCCAACATGATTGTGCTATTTGGATTTGAGAAAAAGTTTGAGAACTCTGATAAAATCTTAATTAATCCATTGTACCATTAACGTAATTTTAATCCATTCATCTTAAATAGTACTGTAGATACCTTTTGATCTTTGTTTTCAACAACGTAACATTGTTTCAATATATCATTGTAGGTATGTTTACACAGACAAGGCCACTATCAATGGTGAAACAGTCACAGGACTCATGTACACCTCTAGGAAATATTCTCAAGACGCATTGTTCAATCTGTGTGTAACGTTCCTGGAACAATCCCTGTCAGAAGACAATGTCTGCCAGATCCTGGAACAATGTCATGTCTACGGAGAGCTGGACCTCGAACAGAACGCGCTGAAGATTCTTACTGAAGGGGGGACGAGGGTCACCAAGTCAGTCGGGTTTGTGAATCTTTGCCCTGATTGTGTGGATCAGTTTGTCAGGTCAGAGAATTTAGATTTGAAAGAGGAAGACGTATTTGATGCTGTGCTGTCCTGGGCAAGGGAAAGATGCCGAGAGGAAGGTGTGAGTGACACGCCTGAGAACATACGGAGACTCCTGGGAGATATGAGGTATGAGATCCGGTTTACCAGCATCCCCCTGGAGTATCTGGTGAAGGTTGTAGGCCGATCTGGTGTGCTGACAGACAGTGAGAGAGTACGAATAATGGACAGAGCTACAGAAACAAATGTTGACATATCTCCGTTTAAACATTCATAGAGAAAGGCCCACAATATCATTCAGGAGAAGCATGTAGCATCCTATGGAAGTGTGGTGAATAGGTTTTCGTCTCACTCCTTTTTGTTTATGCCACCTGAGAAAAGTGCTATCTCCTTCTCACCTAGTCAGAACATTCTCCTACTGGGGTGTGTACTGTTTGGGGGGCGGAATGATGAAGAGTATAAACTGACAATCAGAGTGTATGACCCCATTAACGTGCTGATTGCTGAACCGTTCCTGAACACCAGGATGACGCTTCAAGGCAGGAGAAAGCTGAACGACGTCCTGTTTCCGAGGTCTCTTTCCGTCGCAGCACGTACGACCTATACTCTGTGTGTGGACATGGAGGGACCTGACACTGTCTGTTGTGTGGGAGGATCTGATAAAGTAACAGTAGATGGAGTACATTTTACATTTACAGACTCTCCAATGTGCACTACAAGTACATCAACACGGGATGGACAGATACCTGGCTTGCTATTCAGTCGCCCACCATAGGGAGTGTATCAGGTGTGCCTTGCCTACAACTGTGACGCCGTGGTAGAATTGATTTCAATCATCCCCATTAAGCATAACAATTGCTCATGTTTCTATACACAGAGGATATAACGTGAAGGAATCACGGTATTTGAATTCAGTTGGACGCGGGTATAGACAGGGGGTCAATTCCTATAAATGAACTGGGCGGCAAAAGAATGTATAGGTCGAGTTCCATGATCGATAAAAAAATAACAAGAAGAGGTTTTGTTGTGAATTATAATATAATCTAGGGAGCGGTAACAAATGATTGATCAACCACAGTTTCAATGAAATTGTGCAATCACAGGTAATGTAAGCTCAAGGTAAAAATAATGGTGGGGTAAGAAATTTCATTTCCAAAAGTTGTCTGAAATGTCAGGCACACTACAAGTTCATTGTCGACACAGTTGCCTTCAATAGCATGTATGACCTCCAGCTGCCTCTATGCATGCTGTGATACGCCGCCTCATCGATGACGTCAGTCTTCTGATGACGTGGACTGGAATCCGTTGCCACTCGTCTCGCAGGGCCTGCTGCAATTCTTGTCTGTTGACGGAAGACTGATGGCGTGCTCTAATCTGTCTGTCAAGATGGTCCCACAGATGTTCAATAGGATTCGTATCGGGTGATTGGGCAGGCCAGGGAAAAACGTCAACGTTCTGCTGGTTTAGAAAGTTCCGAGTCAGTCTTGCAGTATGGGGCCTGGAATTGTCGTGTTGAAACAATGCCCCCTGCTGTTGTTTTTTGTAAGAACAGAAGCACAACTGGCTGCAACACTATGTCTCAGTACTGCACAGCGTTCAGGTTTCCCTGTATAATCACCAAATCAGTCTTCTGATCTCCACAAATACCGCCCCACACCATGACACCTCCCCCACCCAGTTTCTCAATTGCCAGCGTCGATCCTGCTTCGCCCATCGCAGTCTCAGGCGTCGATGTTGAGCAGTCAGTACCATTCCTCGGAAAGGACGATACGCTCGGATTCCAGCACCACGAAGTCGTCGTAGTACTGAACGTTGGCTAATGGGATGTCCCAACGCTGTTGTTGCCGTTGCCGTTACGAATCTGTAACGCAGGTGAATGAGCTGTATCTGACCGTCTTCCAGTGGTGTTGTCACTCGGGGTCGTCCGGTTCTAGGCCTGTCCTGTGTCCTCCCTGTCTGCCTGTACTGTTGAATCAGCCTGGCTACTGTCAATGGTGTACAAGCAAACCTTCTGGCAATTTGGCCCTGTGTTGCCCTCATTTCGACCATACCGATGGCTCTCTCTCTCTCTCTGCTCCTGTGACAGTCGTGGCATTTCTTTTGTGTGCTTTCATCACGTCTGGTTATACCCTGCAGACGAACGCATTTATACAGCGAACATGCACGTGCAGTTTATGCCACAGCCGGGAAGCCTGTTTCACCATTTTTTGTCACCGCACGAGCGCCGTCAAAGGTGGCACGTTCGGGTGAGGTGTTTTTCGGCACCTGTTCCTGGGCAGTCATATTCCAAATACCCACTTTCCATCGCTGTTTTTAGGAAAATTACAAATTGCCAACCTACACTTTCTGTTGCCGCTTAGTTTATAACCGGTCAGATATATGTAAACTTCTGGTCTATATACAGAGGATAAACTTGAAGGGATCACGATATTTGAATCTAGTTGAATGTGGGTGTAGACCAGTGTTCAAGGGACACAACAGCCAATTCTTATAGATATGAACTGTTAGATATATGTTAAACTACCGGTCTATATAAAGCCAATGGACGAGTATTCAAAGAAAAGAACATTGGGATCCTATCTGTACAACATTGTAGCCAACTGTTCATCAAGAGCAAAGCTGTTTCCCTTTTTATAGGTTTTACGGCACGTGAGTTTGACCTTGTATTTTCTGATATTCATTGGTCACTTTACAGTTTGTATTTATGTGTGTCAATAATTATACTTAGAGTACTGGACACGAACACGACGTTGACAGAATTTCTTCGGAAGTAAAGCGAAGCAACAAAGTAGGAGCCTGAGAAGTGCGATATCTTCATCCAGCATCTAGACATGTGTTTTGTTGAACATCTGTGTAAACAGCTAAGTTCCTTTAAGGTTCCAGTGTCGAACAATTGTAGGACTATTTTACAGAATCGAATGATTATAAAGAAGAGGATGTAAGCCTAGATTTGTTTCAGTCAAAAGGGGTAAATTGTTAGATTGGCATATTAGTGAAGATGACATAACCTCAGCCGTAACAGGTTACGTTATAACACAGCTTGTGGACTTGATGGAATATTCACTGAGTACATCAAGTCTAGTGTCAAGGTAAAGATGCCTGTATACCTGAAGTTATTTAATCTTTTCGTAAATTGTGGTACTTAACCTGAATCATGGCTTGCTAGCAGTGAGGCCTGTTTTGGGTTAATTTAACTATAGTATTGTGGGACATGAGTTTGGCCTCGCATTTTCTGATATTCATTGGTCACTTTGCAGTTTTCATTTATGTGTGTTAATAATTATACTGAGAGCACTGGACACGGACACGACGTTGACAGTAACCTCCACGGAAGAAAGCGAAACAACAAAGTGGGAGCCTGAGAAGAGCGATATCTTCATCCGGCATCTGGACATGTGTTTTGTTGAACATCTGTTTAAAAGGTATAATCACATGAAATCCAACTGGCTTACAATGTACCATATATATTAAGCTCACCCATAATGCAGACTACGTTACATGTGAGTCAATTGATAAAATCCAATTGACATTACTTCCATGTTTCTGAAAACATGTCAGAGAGATGAATGTTGATATATATTTTGAAATGAATGTTCCTTAACGTTCCTAAACACTAAGCTTATTCTTCCTATAGTATTTGCCTGCACTGCTTCCAACATAATGACGTCTGCAGTTTGCTATTTTGTTCGTGGTTTGGATTCGTGACTGATGCTTCAGTGCAAGAAGGTCGTGACGTAAGTTTTCCCCAAGTCACTCACAATAGCTGAGGTAATAGATTTCCTGGTCCCTGTTTTATTAATCATTTTCTTCCTGGATATACATCTGAATTAGATATATCATAATAGTGCTGTGTGATCCTGTGTGTGTCCTGCTTGTCAATAAACTGGGACAGTTCCCTGCATGGCCTCAGTTGTAAATGTATTGCAACTGTGGTAAGTTAAACCAGAGACCATATAATTAGGAGATAAACATACTGTGTTTTCAATGTAGAGCTAGGTTACCTGTAGATTTAACCCCGCTAAATTGAATTTGGAACCGAACGCGCAGCATGAGGTTTCAAATGTTAAATTTAGCCACACACCTTTTAATATTGCAGTAACCGCATCTGTGCATTTTGTAACCTGTAATTGTAGATATAATTATTTAAATATGCCTACCGACAATGACTGAAAATAGTACTGTTCTAT